TACCAGCACACCCAAATTGGTTTAAAGCTTCAACCATTTCTGCATCACTCAGAATACCCTTGTTTGAGACCAGAATGTACTATGAAAGAAGTTTTTTTGTGTGTATTTAATAATCTACCCCTCTTTTCCAACATCTCAACATCTATACACGTTGTTCCAGCAACAATTATTTTGTGGGAGCATGTGGACAGGTGCTTATTTATATTAATTCCTCCTGAGATTAATCAAAATTCATGCTACTACTGTCATGAACCTATTTATGAAGGGCACAGTATTACATAGTGTGGATAGATGCAATGAATTACAGGTAGTTCTCATTTAGTTACTACAATTTGGACCAGCGACTCAGTTAAGTGAAGCAGCTGCTAAGCGAAACCTACAGTGCTTGCAATCTTGCTTCAGCTTTCCTTCGCTTTACAGACCTATAAAGTCATAAATGCAAGGGTTGATCATAAAGTTACTTTTTCATTATTGTTAAGTGTGGTCACTAAACAAGACCATTGTTAAATGAGAAATACCTGTACTAGATCACCAATTGGAAAGAACCGGGACACTAGATGCAGGGATATTTATTTATCCCGCCTTTATTATTTTTGCAAATAACTCAAAGCAGCGAGCATGTACAGCACATCTTCCTGCTCCTATTTTCCCCACAACAACAAACCTGTGAGGTGCGTTGGGCTGAGAGAGAGTGACTATCCCAAAGCATCCAGCTGGTTTTCATGACTAAGGCAGGACTAGAACTCTCATCGGTCTCCCACTTTCTAGCCTGGTGGCTTAACCACTAGACCAGTGTTTCTCAACCTTGACAATTTTAAGGCATGTGGACTTCAACTACCAGAATTCCACAGCCAGCATTGCTGGCTGTGGAATTCTGGGAGTTGAAGTCCACATGCCTTAAAATTGTCAAGGTTGAGAAACACTGCACTAGACCAAACTGACTCTTCGATATAAGGCCAGATATGAATATTGTATTGTCATAAGGAGTTATCTGAGTAAACAATCTTACTTACTTCTACAGTATAGATCAGAGGTAGGCAACCTTGGCTCTTTTATGACTCGTGGACTTCAACTCCCAGAATTCCTGAGCCAGCCATGCTGAGGGGAAAGGGAGAGTTTCCAAGCTGAGCCATGCTGGCTCAGGAATTCTGGGGGTTGAAGTCCATGAGTCATAAAAGAGCCATGGTTGCCTACCCCTGGTATAGATGCTTAAAATGCAGACAATGCTGCATTTGGGTTGCAAGTCACACACGGCAAAACCATTAGTATGAATAAAGATGTCAGGATCCTTGCAACAACTGCTTTGGTCTTTATTATTTAGACCTGCCCCTTTCATTTATGGAAAGACTCCAGAAGGCATGCTGAATGTCACATGCTAAATAGCTCCGGGGTACAGCTGACTGAACTGCCATGTACAAAATCAAGATGGAACCTCTCTCCCTTCTGTTTGAAGAACTCTGAAAACCAGTTAACAACCCTGTAACTGGCTCACATGTGCAAATTGGATTTCTCTTAATTTATTCCCGAGGAGCAGCTGAACTGGATTAAATTCTTTGTCTCTCCCTCTTATACATAGACCCTACTTTCTGTAAAATGATATTATGCACTTTCAATAAAATCACACTTAACTTTAAACCTGAACTTTTTTTTTTTGGCCACCAAATCAAGTTAACAATTCAATAACAAACTATCTTAGAAGTGTTTGCTGTTACCTTTAATGAGTTGTTTGGCTTTAATGATTTGTTAGACTTTTTGTTTGCTGAAATTGCCAGGAGATGAAATGCTCCTGGGAGAGATCACCCCACAGTCCCTTCTACCCAAGGAGTATTACTTTGAAGGTCTGTTTGTATTTTTGCATTCTCCTCTCCTGGGTATTGTGTGCAATTTCCCCTTTTTTTTTTGGATCAAAGGGCAAGAATGTCACGATTCTTTGCCCTAATAGATATCTCATTTCTCACTGAAAATAATATCATTTAGGCACACAGTCCCCCCCCTCCCATAAATTGCTTTCTGCTCAATTAGATCTTTTCTCAATGTTAGTTCATAGAGAATACATATCGCCATTTCAAATAGTCTCTTTTGCAATCGGTGTATTATTTCTTAACTGCATGCAGGTAGTCCTTGACTTAGGACCACAACTGAGCCCAACATTTCTGTTGCTAAGTGAGACAGCTGTTAAGTGAGTCACATGATCCCAGGACATTGCAACTGTCATAAATATGAGTCAGTTGCCAAGAGTCTGAATTTTGATCATGTAACCATGGGGATGCTGCAGTATGGCTGTAAGTGTGAAAAATGATCATAAGCAGTGGTGGGATTCAGCCAGTTCGCACCAGTTCGACAGAACCGGTAGCTAATTTTTTGTTGCCCAGGTCCAGAATGGAAAACCAGTTGTTCACATATTTGAATCCCACCACTGGTCACAAGTCACTTTTTTCAGTGCTGTTGTATCTTCAAACGGTTACTAAATGAACTGTTATAAGGAGAGGACTACCTGTATCTGAGTAGGCCAGGTTTGCTTAGTAACCTTGTTCTGGCACAAGGCTAGTAATCCCCACATAATTAGTTGAAACTCTGCATACTAACCAGGGTAAGACTTCCACATCACTCAGACATACTAGGCCAGAACTGAGAAAATGTAGATGGAAATCTCACAAACTTTTATCTTGATCTAATTTTTCTTTCAAATTCTGTAAGGTTATGAGAATGAAAGTGTAAGATGCAATTTAAAGAGTGATATGTATCTTTTAATAAATAAGAAAACAGATATTAAGTATGGCAATAAAATTGTTTGCCTGTCTTGCTCTAACTCATGCCTTTGGGTAGATGTCTGTATCTTAGGAGGAAAGACCAGGAAAAAAACCATCATGGATTATTCATCATAAAATATACTTCTTTCCACCATTGCCACTAATGGCAATATATTTAATTAAAAGCCAGGCAGTACACTGCTTCAGCAAGGGCTTTATAAACCTTAGGCTTATAAGGAATGCTAGAAAGCAAAAATTGTGAGATTGAAAACAGTACTTTAGGTTTAATAAATTTGCGAGAAAAACCTTCAGCACTCCCCAAGCCTGTAGTCCTGATCCAAAATATTCATTTCTCAAGAAAAGATTTAAATGGCATTCCAGAACGGAATGATTTAATAAAGCTGTGTTTGTTGGACACGCCAAACCACAAACCATCTAACTGCAATTTAGCCCAGTCTGTTATGCAAATTCAGTCCATGTAACTAGTTAATGATTTGTTCATAAACCTGGGTTGTAAACCATGAATCAGAAAAGTATGGGTTAATGCATCTAATGAATACAGCTTTAGGCCTGATCAATAAGCTTTAATGCAAACAATTAAGAACATTTGCAATAATACATGATGATAAATTAGCAAAGCAAAGCTATGATTGGCAATTACTATTGTTCTTACCTGTACACTTGTGAACTTGTACCTTGAATAGAAAGCTTGCAGAATCTATGGCTGTGTAGTTTACCGTGTTTTCTAATGGCTATCCTTGTATATCTTTCTATAATAATTATTACTCTTGTATAATTATAACATTCATGCACGGTCACACTGAGGATAATATTTGATGAAGTGAACTGTAATCCATAGAATTACAGTATGTCACAATTAGTGTAAATATATGCTACCTCCATCTCTCTCTCTCCCCCTCCCTGAGAATTGGAATATCGTAGAAGAGGCCAGCCACGTGACAGAACATATAAGGATTCAGAGCAAATTTGACTCAGTTCCCAAACTGAAAATCCAATCATTCTAGACCAGTGTTTCTCAACCTTGACAATTTTAAGGCATGTGGACTTCAACTCCCAGAATTCCACAGCCAGCAATGCTGGCTGTGGAATTCTGGGAGTTGAAGTCCACATGCCTTAAAATTGTCAAGGTTGAGAAACACTGTATCTAGACCATTCTCTGTCAAGGGGCAGATAGAGGGTTCCTAGCATTGCCAGTCCCTAATCTTGCCTGCTAGTAAAAAGAGGCGTACATTTTATTCTTTTTATTTTCAATTAATATCCTCTTAAGAAGGGATGGTTGGAAATGAAAGGCAAGAATGCGCCTAGACAAAGGCTGGGCAATAGCATTTTTTAATTATTGGGCCTTTAAAGTTTAAAAATACCATCATCACTTGCTTATGAAACGGCTGCTTTCTTAAAACGGGGAGCTGCAATCATCCTGTTACAACTCGGTGTGTGTCTGTGTGTGTTGTGAATTACTGGGACACCTTACACGGGCCATTCTCTGTCATTGTGAGTGTGTGGTGGGGGGGGGAGAGGAAGGTAGGGAAAGAGAGAGATCGCCAGGGCAGTAATTTATTTCCCGGGGACTCGCCTGATTTTCTAACAATTCTGCGTCCCGTACTAACGGG